ACATCACCGTGGCCAGCACGCAGTCCTGACCTCAATCCAATTGAACACATCTGGGACAACCTTAAAAGACAGGTTCGAGCAAGGATACCTGCACCAACGACTATTGGAGAACTCAAGATTGCTGCAGTAGAAGAGTGGCACAACATCCCTCAGTCTGACATCCAAGATGTCATTGATGGGCTTCCAAACCGACTGCAAGAAGTCATCGGAGCCCGAGGAGGTAATACCCGTTACTAAAAGTCATTAGACGACCACAGAAAATTAAAAATTAACAATATTGTAAATCTATACTTTTCAACAAAAATCACTAAATATGGTTTTTTTTATTTAAATGGTGAATAAATGCAGTTTTTTACATTATTACACAGTGTTTAAATGACAAGATGTGCCTAGTTTAAAAATAAAATATCAGACTTTCTCAGTTATAGGCAGCATATGAGAAAATCTAGAAAATCAAGGTGACCGGTTAAATGTGCCTGTGAGTGTAGTTTAATATCGGTTTATAAACGAACTAACGTTTGACTGTTGAGTTATTAGGAAACAATCAGGAACGAATTAAATTAAATTAAATACGTGCATTATGTATTACTAGCTTTTACCCGCGGCTTCGCTCGCGTCACAAAAGGATAAAAAGTAGCCTATGTGACATATACCAAAACACACAGCGCCATCTATACCAATACTTTTATTTTCCCCCGGGAATATCAAATTTTTCTATAATAAAAAGTACCCTATTATTTTATCCGGTCTTCTAACTTTACGTCTGCAAAAATTCGAAGCAATCGGATTAGTAGTTACGACGTGAAAGCGGAACAAACTAACAAACAAACTCACTTTCTGATTTATAATATTATAGTAAGGATTTTAATAAAACGGTTAATTACAGTTCGGCCTTACAGTGCCCAATAAACTACTGCAAATTGAAAAACACAATCCATATAAAATTACCATTTAAACTGATTCAGTAACTTGAACTTTAAACGTAAAAGGATAAAGTTGATATTTGTCCTTATAAAAACCTTGCGCTGCGGTTCCGATAACTATTTATAGATTTGACGAAACGTTGATATACAACAATTATAATATAGTAATATTAAAACTCAGTTATTTGCGTAGTAATTTAAACTGGACACATGTACCATAACATAACATCACGCCTTTTATCCCCGAAGGGGTAGGTAGATGCGCACATTACTCATTACGGCACTTATTGCCACTGTTTAATGTAACACCCACTTTTCACTATTTATGTTATGAGTCCAATGTAATAGAGGGTGAGCCTATTGCCATACACCGGATACGATTCCAGACTCCATGTTACTGCTGAGAAATTTTAAAAACCTCAGTAATACTTTGGTCGACCCGGGAATCAAATCTGAGACCCCTTGCCAGTCGCACTTGCCAAATTATAGTCGGATTTATTTTACTTGGATTTATTATAATAATGTGTAGGGCTCACGACGTTTACACACAACCGAGTATGATGGGTAGACAGCGACATTATTGACGAGTGTCCTACCTTGGACCTTATAATATATAACACATTAAAGAGAGGGGCCACTACTTACTAAATAGTGATGTTAATACAGACTGAGAATCTAACGGGTAACCGGGGCTCCGGCTCGACGTGCAGGAGAAGGAACGGGGTGGTTTTTAGTCAGTAAGAGTATGACACTTCCTCCCGCCTCACTCAGGCGGGAGCAGTCGTTCGATGATTTTCCACCCTTAAAAAAAAACTACAGACTAATACATACATGTAACACTCCCGTCAACAACTGTAACTTATCGGCTTACTACATTATTTTAGGAAGCGTGTGAGGTGTGACCCAGACATACTAGAACAAAACACTTAACTAAACCTTGAAATGATCCCCAGCACCCGCATGCCGGATAATTTTGCAGATGTCCAATGCAGATGTTCGTCCTCTTCAAACCACAATTAACACTAACGATCTTTTTGCGCATAACTTTACTTCAAATCTATATATATAAAAAATGAAACCCGTTTCCCGTTGTCACGCCATAACTTGAGAACTGCTAGACCAATTTGGCTGACTTTTTGGTTATGTTTATTATTGTCAGGAGAAGGTATGATAGAAAAAAGTCATGAAAATTCCACGGGAACGGAACAAAATGGGATAGCGCGTACGAAGGCGTGGGCAGAAGCTAGTACGTTATATAGGTCCAAAATGATTATTACAATCCTAACACATAACGTCTTTTACTTTCCGAAGGGTTAGACGGAAATGTACATCGACAATGTGTTTTTTCACTAACATAAGATCACGCCTTTTATGGCCAAAGGAATGCGTAGGCAGAGGTGCACACTGCAGCACTTAATGCCACTGTACAATGTAACATCCACTTTTCACTATCAATATTATGAGCCCCATGTAATAAGTAGTGAGTCTATTGCCATATACATTTCCAGACTCCGAGCTACTACTGAGTTTTTCTTAAAAACCCAGTAATACTTTGCCTTACCCGGAAATCAAACCCGAGACCCCTTGGCCTGCAGTCGCACTGGCGACCAATCGGTCATATATTTATATATTTATCGGTCATATAATTATCACTGCTTAGATATAAGTAGGTCCAATTATAACATTCTCGGAGCAAAAGAAGTTCTTCTCTCCCTGCAGACATAGAAATATGCGAGGTTTCACTTGATTACTATTCATGGCGGCGTGAACATCCCATTCAGAGCAAATCCCTCTTTAATGGCCCACTTTGAAGCTACAAGCACCAGGTTTTCAACTGTGAATCCCTTGTCTTGTTGACGAAATCCCTGTTAATTACACTGCTTATTACGTGTGTAGATTTGTGTGGTTTTATGAGATTAACTTGGGTTCAATTAAGAATGAACATAAGACACAAGATGATAAAAGTTAAAAGGCTGTTACGAGTCCTTTTTTGGTCTATAAAATTAATTATTTAACAATTTGTATTGTAACTAATATGAGCCTCTAGCATAGCTTGAAACTAGTCGAGTTCCTCGTTAAATTATAACGTGAGTAAGCCGAAAACATAATAATTTATTTATTTGACAATTGCAATACCTAGTTTTTATTTTTGTTTCGTTTGTGGTTCTTTCACGTCAAAACGGCTGAAGGGATGGAGATGAAATTTGGAACAGGGGTGGATTATGGTCTGGAATAACACATAGGCCATTTTCTAGCTTCACTGGCAGACAGACGGACGGTCGATTCAATTGGTAACGTTTCAAAAGTGGCTAATTAAGGATTGATTTAAATAAATGACTTTAACTTTAACTCTAACTCACAGGAACGCGAGCGAAGCCGTTGGCAAAATCTAGTATTTACTATATTTAATAACATGACTGTTTGTAAAACTAATGTAAATGTGTCATTTGCCGTTTCTTTCCTATAGGATGCTACAATTTGGAACGATCAAAATATAGTCAGTATAAAGGATAACGGACAATTTTTATTTTATTGATTGACGCTTAAGAGTTGTCTTACCATAAGTCAATGATTTATCCTTGACCTTGTCTGCTACATTCTTTTAAAGACTAACTGTTGGCCACGACTTCGTCCGCGTAGACTATGATTCCTGTTTTACCCCATAAGAGCATTTAATCGGGTTAAAATCCTATGACCTAAGCCAGCCTCCGCATACTCTGCCTGTATACCAAATGTTATCAAAACCCGTTCAGTAGTTTCAGAGTGATTTACGGTCAAACATACAAACAAAGAAACATACATACATTTATAATATTTGTGTGATTTTGTTCCAAAAGTGTTTTCTTAAATGTTGATCGGATATTCTCGGCTATTCGACAAATATGTGCAAGTACTTAGCCGATACGTACCCAGTCTAAACACATCTATCCCCAAATTGGTCGTACAAATAAACACGTGCAGACGGACTGTAGCCAGAATGTTGCATATTATTACGTGTATGTTTAGAATTTCAAGGTGAAGGAGTATGGTGAATTATATAATATTGTGTAATAAATGCGTAGACTACTAAAATCGGTCGTATTCATTATGATATAATGCGAGTTTTGTTTTTTTTTATGGCATAAGCTGGTGAACGAGCAGACACTAGGGAACACCAGAGGCGTTATACGTGCGTTACCGGCCTTTTGGGGATTAGGAGTTTGAGGATCATTGGGGATTCAGGAATTGGGAAAATTGGGAAAGGGGAGGGTAATTGGGCCTCCGGTAACCTCACTCACACGACGAAACACAACGCAAGCAGCAACATTACTTCACGTCGGTTTTATGTGAGGCCGTGGTATCACTCCGGTCGAGCCGGCCCGTTCGTGCCGAAGCATGGCTCTCCAACACTTTAACTTTGTTTAAAGTTATTGATGAATCTTCAGGGACTATGATCTTCCTATTTCCAAGATATCTACAATTTCTATAACAACGTTTACCTTTCCCACTGTCGGGTGCAAACTGACTGGGTTAAACACTAAAGATTTTCTACCTTATTACTTACTTAGCACTTCTAATAAACGAACTTCTTAAAACTTCGAAATCTTCCAAACAACATTATAATTAAAAAAATCTGCCCCATACAAGGATTTTCGTGTATGCGTGTGTGCGTTTATAAACATACAAGTTCACATACACATGACACCCAGACCCGAAACAATCGCCAACCGTGTAGTGCAATTATGTATGTAACTTAGACCACAAAAGTGTCGCGGAGAACCTAACGGGTTACCGTGGCTCCGGCTCGAAGTGCAGGAGAAGGAATGAGGTGGTTTTTAGTCAGTAAGAGTCTGACACTCCCTCCCGCCTCACCCAGGCGGGAGCAGTCATTCAATGATTCTCCATTCTCCACTCCTTAAAAAAAAAGACCACCAAAGTCATTTAAAATTATTTGACGGGAAAGTACTTACTATAGGGTCATTGATGACACTATTTGACAACACTATCTATCTCCCAGTCCAGTCAGACGTGTCACAACAAACAGTATTTATGTAAAAAGTCCCTATATATGCTCAATATCAGTGTTTGCTTCCGCAGGAGCGGTGCGGCGCGATAATGCGCGGGCGCAGATAATACACAGCCGTCCCAACATTGCTCTGACTACCGTAAGTTTATTATAGTTTATGTTTATTATGATTTATGCGTCATGTACATACTTGTGTCATGTGTTAGCTGGGTGGTATGGTCTTTTAACTACCGAGATATAATTGTAAAAAATGTCGTGGTGGCCCGGAGGTTTAAGACGCCCACTTCTCATGCATGAGGGTGCGGGTTCGAAACCTACCAACGGCAAGTACCAATGTGACTTTTTCCAAGTTATATGTACTTTCTAAGATTATTTAGACACCACTGACAAACGGTGAAGGAAAAACATCGTGAGGAAACCTGGACTTATAATTTCTAATTATAAGTTTGAAATCGCCAACCCGCATTGAGCAAGCGTGGTGATTAATGCTCTAACCTTCTCCGTGTGAGAAGGTTTTGCTCAGCAGTGGGCATTTATAGGCTGTTGATGACATGATGATGATATAATTGTAAATTTCTTGTTTAAAACAAATTCCCTGCTAGAGCTACAGCGGTCAATTTTACACCCACAAAGCATTTAACGTGTTTATATTTTATGGGATAATTTGGTAAACGAGCATACGGATCACCTGCTGGTAAGCAATCGGCGTCGCACGTACACATAGAACACCAGAAGCGTTACAAGTATGTTACCGGCCTTTTAGGGATTAGGAATTTAATCGTCGAGTACCGTCATTATAGACACAAATATAGAACAATACGTTGCGGTCACCGATGACCGCGCGGTGTTTGACAGTTTAAGGATTGTTGGGGATTCAGGGATTGGGGAGTATATGGTAATGAGGGCTTCGATAACCTCACTCACACGACGAAACAGAACGCAAGCGTTGTTTTACGTCGGTTTTCTGCTCGGCCGTGGTATCACTCCAGTCTAGCCGGCCCATATGTGCCGAAGCATGATTCTCCCACACTTAACGTGTTAAAGCAATGGTGTCAAACAAAGGAAAGGGTATATAAGGAGACCTATATAGTTTTGCAATAGACCCTGAAGTGAATGATGATAATGGGGAGTTGGGGAGAATAGGAAAAACGATTTGTTTGATCGATTTTATATTCATATTGTTATAAATATCTGTTAAAATCAAGTAAGCCAGTGCTGATAATCTTAGGTTACACGCCTTCTCAGCTTCTTTTTTTAAAATGTCTCTTATTTTGAATTTGCCCCATGGTTCCAGGTGTAAGAATGGCGTCGGTGTGGAAGCGACTGCAGCGTGTGAACAAGCGAGCTGCCAAGTTCCAGTACACTGCCTCCTACCATCGTGTAGATCTTGAGACCTCGCCTAAATGGTAAGATAATGTCTACTGGACCTAAATTCACCGTGTGTTGAATTGACGGTGAAGTCGAATACATCTGTCATCGCTCTTAAGCTTTCTGAGGGTATCGTAAGCAAAAAGGACTTTTTCATGGTATCAGCCGGTAAACGAGCAGACGGATCACCTGATGGTAAGCAATCGGCGCCGCCCATGGACACCTGAAACACCACAGGCGTTACAATTGCGTTATTGGCATATTGGAAATTCGACAATTGGGATGACTAGGGAGGGTATTGGGCCTACGGTAAGCTGCACAATGAAACACAGTGACATCACGTATTTAAAAATAAAATATTGTATAGTGGCATTGAGTGCCGTAATGTGCACCCCTGCTTATCCCTTCGGTGATAAAAAGCGTGACGTTATGTACTAACTAACAAAACCTGAAAAATGTCTGACTCCAGTAACGTAAGATCAAAAATGTATTCCAAAGACTACATTACACACAGCACATTTTCTCTATCCCAAACTATCGTTTAGTTTATATGCAAGTGGTGCAAGTTCACCGCGTGGCTAGTATCGATCTCTCAGCTATTTACGTCTCTAACTTACAACTGACGGCAACAATACGGATTTAAACTTGGACATTGCAGTTCACTAAGAATAGTCGTCTGTCTGTCTGTCTGTTTGTCTGTTTGTTGTGCTTTTATTACTTACTGCAATGTTTTGTTCTTTAAGTTATAGTTTTAAAAAGTAAAATACACGAGAGTAAAGAGACGAAGTCACTGGCGTTTTTTCTTTTTCATTTCTTGGTGTATATTTTCTGATACACGTATTGTATTAATTGGTAAAATACATATCTTATACTATTATATAAAGCGGAAGAGTTTGTTTTTTTTGTTTGTTTGTTTGAACGCGCTAATCTCCGTAACTACAAGTGTGTTATATCCGAGGTAGCCCTCAGATACCAGGAACATCATACAATCGTCATTCATCGAGATTGTGCAACACGAATTGATCGATTTATAAAAACCGTTCGCCGACTTCTCATGTCGCCTTTCGTCGCCTAACATCGGGACGTTAGGACACTAGTTTTAATTTTAAGTACTTAGTTTTAATATATCATTGTAACCTATGAACTACTTGCTTATTAATTGGTTGCGTTATTTGGATCTCCTCCGCTGCCCACATCGTAATTAGTGTGATTGAATAATTCTTTTTGTGTTGGATAGTGCATTTATCGACAATGGCTATAGGCTATAAAACATCACGCTACGACCAATAGGAGCTGAACAGAGCGTGTGAAACCGCGCGGAAGTAGCTAATGTCGTATAAAAGGCAATTTAGCCTATAGCCATCCTCAATAAATGCGCTATCCAACACAAAAAGATTTATTCAAATCAGGCTTGTAGTTACGGAGATTAGCGCATTCAAACAAACAAACAAACATAAAAACAAACTCTTCCGCTTTATATAATAGTATAAGATATCAGCTTTTTTCTTATTTTACTTCCTATACAAATGATAAACATTGTTTTAGTTTCTTTCTTAACCTTTTCAAATTATTGAACAACACATAAGTGCCTAGGATCTTGAACATATATTTTTTTATCGTGCCTCAACTGCACATCTGTCCAGCGAGCAATGCACTCATCAATCGGTTACAGAAATACATTCAAGTGCATTCTAAACCTACTGGATGTACGCGTGACTAAAATAGAACTTGAATACAAACAATAGATAAAAATGCGTTAAAAAGGGTGAATGAAATAGGTACGATCACTTTTTTGTAAGTTAATAGGTATTTGTGATAGTTATAGGCGTATTTATCAAGGAATAGAGATGATGTCAAAAAAAAAGTCAAAAGTCAAAGCATTTATTTCAATTAAACCATAGTTTGGTACTTTTGAAACGTCAACAAATACAAAATAAATAATAGTCTGTCAGTCAGTCCGTCCGTCGATGACGGGGTATGACAATGAAAAATTTAATAAGTCCGTCAGTTAGGCAATTTAAATATATTACGCACGTATTTTTTATTTTGTCATATAAGAAAACAATACTTCCAAAAAAAGGAATCAAAGTTTAGGATTGGGGGTTCAAACGTCATTTCTATATACATAGAAGTGACGTCACACGATATTTCAAATCAATATATCATCAAAGGTATTTGATTCTCTAAGAAAGTAAAATATACGGGTCTAATGTTTTAAAATAATGTACCAGATGGACACAATACAAATTAGTCATATACCGTATAGTATAAACAAATGAGAATTAATTAACAATGTCAGTTAATAGTACAAAAGTACTGTGTCAAAATTAAAGAGTTGAGCACCATTTATAGGGCCAGATCAACAACACTTTACCTGTTTAGAACACTCTTAAAATATGTTGTATTTGTTTTCAGGAAACCAAACAAACTGAGTGTGGTGTGGACGAGGCGTTCCAGGCGGGTGATCACGGATCCATTGGAATGGGAGCCGTCGCTCAAAGATCCACTCAAGTATGTATAATTGGGTATCCAGGGTATCAAAATTAAAAATCTAATTAGTCCGTCAGTTAGATAATGAAAAAATATTAGACACGTATTTTTTTATTTTCTCGTATTAAGTTGCAATACTTAGATAAAATGGCGCTAAGTTTAGGAGTGGGAGGTTGTTACGTCATAACGTGCTACAAAATGTGACACGCTGTGACGTCACACGATATTTCAAATTAATATATCGTCGAAAGTATTTAATTTTGTGAGAAAAGAAAAAATAAGTGTCTAAAGTTTTAAATTAATGTACCAGATGGACATTAAAATAATTAGGAAACGACCCTATTATATGATAATGTCGTGGTGGCCAGGAGCATTTTTTATATGGAATAAGTCGGTAAACGAGCAGATGGATCAGGTTGATGGTAAGGAATCGGTGCCACCCATGGACACCCGAAACACACGTGAGAAGAGGCCTTTGGTCAGCAGTGGACACTTCTAGGCCGTTGATGATGATGAAGATATTTTTATTAACTAAGTGTGAAATAATAATGTTTTGTTTTTGTATCCAGAGGGTCCGTCATATACACGGTGCCAGAGAATAGAACGGTGGCCGTCACGCTGTTCAAGGACTCCCGCACCAACGAGCTGGAGGACAAAGACTGGACATTTGTGCTTGAAGATGTAAGTTTATTGTTTATTTTGTAAACCTTAAAATATATGAGATTTGTATTTTTTTTTTTCATAACGCTTGGGTCTGAAACACGCGCCGTTGGATACTGTTTTGCGATTTAGATTCCCGCACAAAACTATTTTCTTTCTAGGTTTGATGTAATGTAACTTCTTAAGTTTATGAACACACCCAGAACATAGTTTTAACATAATTTTCGAGTGAATGAAAATTATTTTTGTCGGAATGCTTGAAGTAGTGCGAAAGATATGAATGAACTATAGTATCTAATAATGATGGGGTGTTAATGTATTCTTTCTTTCAATTGTATATTTATTGAGTAGTGTAGTTGGTTGCTTATAAATAAATAGAAGAAGATTCTGGTGTAAACACTTAAACATCTTAAAAATCTATAATATGCTTGTTTAGGGTCCTGGTGTAGCCCGAAACTAATCGAGCATATCCGAAAATAATCCAAACATATTTATAGTTAACCTTGTTATTCCCCAGGTATCAATAACAGGCAAGCGTCGTCGCCTCGGCGTTTGTTCAATAAATATGCGGAAGTTTGCAAGCTTGGAGCCCTCGCAGCGCGCGCTGGTACTGACCCTGGAGCCCACCACACACAAGGTGGTGGCCATGTCGCTACACCTCACTCTACATTGTGTGCTGTTGAGGGAGGGACAGGCTACGTATGTATTTCTGTCGTTGTTATGCTGTAGTTACGGATAAGTTTAAACTGTCAAACACCAAGCGGTCACCGGTGACCGCAACCTATTGTTCTTTAATTGTGTCTATAATGACGGTACTCAAAGGTAACAAGTTTTTTTTTCAGATGTTTTCTGTAGTTTTTATAAGATGAACTTATTTTTAATAACTAGCGACCCGGCTCGACTTCGCACGGGTGCAATATGCATGTATTATACATATAAACCTTCCTTAACAATCACTCTATCTATTAAAAAACCTCATCAAAATCCGTTGCGTAGTTTTAAAGATATAAGCACACATAGGGACAGATAGATGGCGGGTAGCGACTTTGTTTTATACTAGGTGATGTAACATTTTAAAAGGTGCTGTACCCTTTGCGAGGTTTTTAATATCCCTCTTAATTATGACAGTAATAAATAACTTATTACAGACTTTATTAACGTTATTATAAACGCTTTTATGCTTTAAAAGAAATACCTTAAAAGTAAAGTAATATTTGCAAAGCACCGTGCACAAACAGCAATCTTGTGGCTTTTGGGGGTCATTAGACGTAAAGGCCTATTTTTACCTTATCTCAAAACTGAAAGTTACTATTTAATAACATAACATCACGCCTTTTATCCCCGAGGGGTAGGCAGAGGTGCACACAGAAGTAACACCCACTTTTCACGATTTATGTTATGAGTCCCATGTAATAGGGAGTGAGCCTATTGCCATATACCGGGCCACATTTCCAGACTCCGTGCTCCTACTGAGATTTTTTTAAAACCCAGTAATACTTTGCTCGACCCAGGAATCGAACCCGAGACCCCTTGCCTGGCAATCACTTGCGACCAGTCGGCCAACGAGGCAGTCCAAGTCCTTATTATAATTTAATAAATAAAAGATATGTTATGAATTTTTGTTGTGTTTTAATAAATAGAATATTATTATTATTACGACTTCCAGCGATGAAGACATGCAGTCCCTGGCGTCTCTCCTGTCAGTGAACAACAACTCCGACATCGCAGTGTTGGAGGACCTCGACGAGGACGACTACACGTTGTCCGATAATTCGACTAGACAGGTAATTGGGTAGATTCCAGGGTATCAAAATTAAAAATCTAATTAGTGTGTCAGTTAGATAATGAAAAAATATTAGACACGTATTTTCTTATTTTCTCGTATTAAGTTGCAATACTTAGATAAAATGGCGCTAAGTTCAGGAGTGGGAGGTTGTTACGTCATAACGTGCTACAAATGTGTGCACGTCACACGATATTTCAAATTAATATATTGTCGAAAGTATTTAATTTTGGGAGAAAAGAAAAAATAAGTGTTTAATGTTTTAAATTAATGTACCAGACGGACATTAAAATAAAATTTAGGAAACTACCCTATTTTGTATATCTTTATTTTACAACCTCGATAAATGCGCTATCCAACACAAAAAGAATTATTCAAATCAGACTTGTAGTTACGGAGATTAGCGCGTTCAAACAAACAAACAAAAAAACAAACTCTTCCGCTTTAAGATTGGTTTTCAAGGTAAACTATTTTACATTACAGATGTTAGACCTTCGACAGCAAATGGAAGAAATGACCCAAAGTTTAACAAACAGTGACATAGCGGCGACCCCAAACAGCGTACAGAGCCTCAACTTCGACAATTCCCGAACCCCTACAGCCCCCATCACCCCAGAGACCACGACCCCAACCACACCCGTGCCTTCAGACCCCACGCCAAACGACAACGATGTGACTAACGACCCCATACCAAAAACAAGGCCAGAAATGCTAAGCAATCTCACTAAAATGGTTATGAAACCAGAACCTAAGTATTTTTCGACCCCCAAAATGAATAATGTTATTAATAATGAGCCTAAAAGTGAGATAAAGGGGGTCGTTTTTAAGCCTAAGACGGTAGCCATGAGGAATCTGAAGCCTTTGGAGTTGAAGACAAATTTGAACAGTATTAATTTGGATAGAAATGAGAATGAGAAGGATGAGGACAGTGATAAGACTCCAACTGCAGCTGATATGGAGAAGCTGTTTCCTGGCAAGTTTGATAAGGATAAAACGCCGGTAAGTTGAACTAGATGATAGTTTATCGATTAACACGTCAATTGACTTTCAACCTTTTGTTGTTGTAATAAAGTCCAACTTGCAATGTTTGAAGTAATTTAATGAGTTAGTGAGCATTTTACGACTTACATTTAATACACCATTTTAAAAAATACGATACTGTTGAGTATTTGAAAATCTTGAAGACTGCACGGTGTCGCCGGTGGCTGGGCAACAGGCTGCCGCGCAACGTGTGGCGGGTTCGATTCCCGCACGAAACAACTGTCTGTGTGATACACAAATTGTTGTTCCGTGTCTGACTGTCATGTGTATATGAACTTGTATGTTTGTAAACGTAACCACGATACAGGAGAAAATCCTAGTGTGGGGCAACGCGTAAAAATCTTAAAATTTGTCGATACTTGACTCCTTCGTAGATGGTCTTAGACGCGACTCTATAGAACCAGTCTCTAAATCATTTACTAACCCGAGAATAGTTTTATTGGACATGAATTTTTGATAACTCCAGGACTCTTTCTAATGATATAAATGTTCCTTATCTATTTTTAATTTATTTTATTATTATTAATATATTATATTTGTTAATTTATTCTTATTGTTCTATCCTTCAGGTCCAGGACCTCCTGGAATGGTGTCAATCAGTGACCCGCGAGTATCGTTCCTGTCGAGTGACCAACCTGACCACGAGCTTCCGCTCCGGTCTGGCCTTCTGTGCCATCATACATCGGTTCCGACCTGATCTCATGTTGGTATATGCATTTTTCTTATTATTCTAAGTTGGTGTTAGTAGCGGTTAGAAAAAACTTTTTCTCAATGAGGACTAATGTTCTGCTCACCAGTATATATGAATATACTCATACCAAAATAACACTTTATACACTTTTTGTCTGTCTGTCTGTTTGTATTGGCTAATCTCTGAAATGGCTGGACCGATCTTCACGGGACTTTCACAGGCAGATAACTGATGTACTAAGGAGTAAAAGTATCCTACCTTTGTTTGGAAAATTGAAACAAAAATAGTTATGTTCTAAAATTCACATTCTATGTAGACACAGTCGCGGGCAACAGCTATTTCTTCCATAAAATCGTGTTATGATAATCGACTAAACTATTATTATTACAAAATTCCAGTGATTTCTCTGGCCTGCAGCCTGACGAGGCGGAGAAGAATCTCCGCGTAGCTTTGGAAGCTTCTTCCAAGCTTGGCATATCTCAAGTACTGACTGCCGCCGATGTATGTTCCAGGCAAATACCGGATAGACTCGCCGTATGTATTTTAATGTTATTTTATTAGTAGACCGGTATTTTCTGTAGACGGATTTGTAAGAAGATGGTATTTTATGTGAACGGTCATTTCTGTAGACGGCCTTTTTAGTGGATGGTATTTTAGGTGAACGGTCTTTTCTGAAAAAAGCCGTCTGCTTTTTTAGTAGATAGTGTTTATGTGAACGGTCTTTTCTGTGGACGGTATTTTAAGTAAAAGATCTTTTCCGTAGACGGTGTTTTTAAATTGTATTTTTATGTAAAATAAATAAGTACTAAGTAGTTATTTAATATGTATACTCCGTCTACTCCTTTAGAAAATTACATGCGTATGACGGTTATTTGACGATGTATTTTTTTTTTCAGATAATGACATATCTATTCCAACTGCGCGCACATTTCACCGGCAATGAATTACAAGTAGAACAATTAGGTATGTAGATGTATTTTTAGTTCGTAATATAGTCTAGTATTTCTAAAACATTTTTCTATTTTTCTCTCATTATAAAAAAAATCCATAAGAAATCCACAAAATATAATTGTATGTCAGTCTAGCGAGGACTGACATACAATTATATTTTGTGTGTATGTAGTTTAATTAAAATAAATGCCTTGACCTTGACATTCAAAGTTACCTTTTTTGATGGAATTGAAATAAATACCTTGATTTTAACATTTATTCCTTATATTCCCAGGTAACGACGAGACGGAGTCGTCGTACCTGGTGGGTCGTCACGACACAGACGGGTCCATACCGCAGGAACTGTTCAGCAGGGAGATCAGCACTCGACGGTCCAGGAATATGATGGACAGACCACGGCCTGGGTCAGTATTTTGTGCTATTTTATAAATTGTTGGGTAGGTTAGATATGTAGAATAAATTGTCGCCTGCCGGTATTCCTGAATCAATATGATCTTTGAACCTTTAAGAACAGAGCATATTCCTCTTTGAAAGGTCTGCAACAGACTTGTAACTCTTCTGGAGTCGTGGATATTTTTTTTAATGCAATAAGCCGGTAAACGAGCAGACGAATCACCTGATGGTAAGATCACGATATATACACTATAATAAATACACTATAAACCATCACGCTACGACCAATAGGAACCGAACAGAGCGCGTGAAACAGCGCGCAAGTAGCTAGTAATTCATATTTGTCTTATTAGACAATGAAAACATTTAAGTTAACTGTGAATTACAGTAAACAAGTTATATGGCTAAGTTTTTAAATATTTGATGGGCCGACGTTTGACTATTATCTCGCCTGGTGGTAAGCGATGATGCAGTCTACGATGGAGCACGTCGTCACATAAGCAACCTATTCACTCGGGCCTTGAAGACATCCACGTTATACCTTCAGGAAATACAGACTCTGGCAAAGATTCCACTCCTCAGCAGTATGCAGAAGGAAGTTTGAAGCGAAGCGTTTCGTGCGTGTGGGTGGGACATCTACCATGAATCGGTGAAGCTTCGCCGATTGTCTTGTGGAACGATGATGGAAAGGACTAGGAGGAATAATTTGTTCTTTAAGTTAAAATTCAATAAAAAATACATATTCGAACAAGTCTAAAACACAACCATTGTCCCCAACTCACTACAGAAATTTTCACCTCCCTTTCTCCCACAGTTCACAAGAGTCCCAAGAGTCCAGAGCTTCAGTAGACCGGTCTACTCCTGAACAACCGTCTCCAGGAGGAAGGAAGGATGTCAGAGACCTCCTGCATCAGTCCAAGGCTATACTTGGCAAGGTCTTGTCTCCCGCTCGAGACCATAAACCTAGTGCTAAGTGGTTCGCTGACCCACTTAAGGTTAATGAGGTAAGTTAGCTTAACCTGTGAAGTTAGTGGATTGACAGACTAGATGTTAAATTAGTTATGAATTTAGGTTTGAGTAGTAAATATGACATTTACAGATTATGTAAATGATTTACCTACGATTGTGATTTGTAAGGTTTACGGTTACCACGATACTCGACTAGTTTCGAGATACTCCAGGACTCATAATTATTAACTGTTGTACACATGTCGCCTTATAATTATTGCGCCTATTATTATGCGCCCCGGTATGACTCGAAAATAGCTGCGTTCCAATTTATTTAAAAGGTGTTTATTCCCACTGTTTTCTTTGATTGTCTGTATAATTTTGATAATTCAAAATTTCCTACATGAAATGTATCTTTCCAATTTCATAATTTTCATAATAACCTGTCTTTGCTTCCCAGCCACCCCCAGTGCGTCCGGAGAAGTTGATGACCCGCAAAGAGTTGACGGATCCGTTCGGATCTGATGAGGAGGAGGAAACACAGGAACCACCACCTCCAGCACCAACGAATAACGGAAACAATGTGAATAATGGGAACAATGAAATTGGTATGTTTTTTCATACATTATCAATAATATTATAACATAACATCACGCCTTTATCCTCGAACTGATATTTTTACATTTTTTTTTTCGTTTTATTGTATTTTGTGACAGTACAAATAAACTATTTCTTTATTTCATCAAAACACTGAATGTGCAATTATGTCTGTTATATACCTCTACAGGTCTAAGTTTTGGAGTTATACTTAAAAAAGTAATTTTATTTATTGTTCAATTCAATTTAAAATGAATAAGATTAATTTTTATTAATATCCTGTCCGAAGAGCAAAACTCACTACTGAGTGGAGCCCACTCAACGTCAATAGATGTCTTGACGCCTATGAAAAGGATTGGCCATCACATAAGAAGAGACGAGTGGAAGGAGGCTAGGGAGGCCTTTGCCCTGCAGTGGGACAACCATGGCTAAAAATAAAAAAATATATAATTCTTCATTTTTGAGCTCAACTGTTTAAATTTTATTCAACTAAATCATCTTATTTTCAGTAGCACCCCAACCAGACCCGAACCCATCAGAACCGGTAATAACAACGGACCCACTAACTCAACTAGAACCAGATAACCGGGTAACCGCACCACCGAAACCAACCACACCTGAGTTACCCAAACCGACACCGGTAAGTCAAGTTCTGTGTTTCAGGAATGGCTTGAAACTTGTTCTGTAGTGTGTTTAGTGTCTAAAAGAGGTTGTAGCCAGATTCAATATATATATATGTTTAATAAAAGAACTTTTGCATGTAATAGGACCTGGGTGCTTATTCTTGAAACCAATCTCAATGTCAATGGAATTTCAATCCAATAACATCTCAATAATTATTCAATGTCAACACTATACAATCCCTATCGAAGCTGTTAAAATAGCATTCAGAGTGCGGAATATAAAGCCAAACTCAAAACCATTTAGTTCATTCAATATCCGCGCAATACGGATGCAATGGGCGCTAGTGTTGCAACTCAAGAGTATGAAATTTCACAATACCAATGTCGATCGATCGGAATTGGATACAAGAGTAAGCCTGCTGCTTTTAATTCAGAATTGGATGATTATTGTGTATTTCATGTACCATTAACTGTTTAATCCCCAAGCAGTCACCGGTGACCGCTCAATACTAACTTCATTATGATCAAATTATTGTATGAACAAAAGTTGGGGATTTTTCATAATCGGATATTTAAAATACGAATGTTTCATGATTATTTAAGTTGAATCTGAAATTGCGGTCGGTATATGGCAATAGACTCCCCCTGTTACGTGGGACTAATAATATAACCGTTGAAAAGTCGATGTTACATTGTGTAGTATTGAGAAGTGAAGTTTTGTTGTAAAATTAACTATCTAACTAAATTTAACATGTATATGCATCCTTACTGGTCTTGTCATAAGGTTTATTTTTCTTTATTTTTTATTGAATGATAGAATTTGTATGAATACAAATAAAACTGCGATTTTAAAAGTCTTATTGCTTTGTTAAGTAAAAACGTGGGTTACTCACGTGAATATACTGAGAAAAGCTACGCGGTCGTGGCGTAGTCGCCGCGACCGCGCACGCTGCTCATGAGGAAGAACCCCTCTGTGGTTCGAAACTAGTAGTGCTTTTCTCAGTATATTCACGTGAGTAACCCGCGTTTTTACTTAATTTAGTATGTCTCACGATAGTTCTTATTACTTTGACTTACGGTCCATTTCGATTTGTTTAAACATTTTGGAATAAAAAATTACCTGATTCTGAACAAACTATTTTCAGGATGTGCGTTATTTATGTTACATCTTGTATAAGCACAGACAGACAGACGGAAAGCGACTTTGTTTACTATGCAGTGATTTTGCAAATTACATGTCTATCAAAAATACATATTCTATATATCTTTATTGTGACTAATTATTTTAATGTGTTTCTGGCTACAACCTCAAATCATGTTTGGTTTCGATAATATCATGAAACGAAATACTTCAAGTCCAAAAGATACATACGGACACTGTATCTTTACATTATACATATGTATTGTGTGTTACTGACCTTTTATATATAGTATGATTACATATTATAATGTATAATTCGTTATATCCTAGTTTTGTTCTAAGTATAATTGAGAATAATTTAGATGAATATTAGTTTAGTTTTTCAAAATTTATACGGGGTTTCCCAACTTACGGTTTGCAGACAAAATAATAGACAATAGAATATGATTATTATTTTAGTTAGTATAAATCAGGTTTCATAGTAATTATGATTGTCATAAACGAACATACGTCAACATTACGTGAACGTAAATGAGCATACCTAATTCAAAATCAACGTCAAAGTCAAAATCATTTATTTGAATTAGACCAAGAAGGCACTTTTGAACGTCGTTTATATATTACAGAAAAAGTGTCAATCTGTAGGTCAGTCCTCTTAGTGAAGCTATTTACTTGTTCCAAGGTGTAGATTCCTATGGAGAAGAACGAGCAAGAAACTCCATAGGCTACTCTTTTACAATCACGTTCGCAATACAGTTTAATTGCAAACGTTATCCGCTTTTCGGAGCAATCTGACATTAAAGTAGTTTGAGTATTAGGTAAAAAAAGAAACGTTCCCGTTTACAACTGATTGGGAAGCCCTGGTTTTTATTAGTTTAGTGTATTAATGTCATTCTAATAGGCTGAGTAGTGTTATAGAATTTATTCAACTAATTACAGTTAGTTTTTTTAGGAGATATTAAATAATTAGTATTGTATTTGTAAATAGGTACGTGTTTGGTACTAACAGATTTAAAACATTTTTAGTTATATTCGAAGTAGATAATATTAGTTATCTTGGCAAAGTTGTTCATAAATCGATTTATTAGCATAGCATACTTGTAGAATCAAAATTTACTCGATTTAAAAACAAATGCTAAGAACCTTTGATTCGAATGACCCAAACTATCAGAAGTTTTTTTAATTTGTCTTTACTACAATCAACTTAGTAGTTTAGCAGTAAAAATGTAACAGACATACAAATATTTACTTTCATATTTTATTCATATTTGTAGTACAAATCAATGGGTAATAATATTGTCATGTCTTATTGGGATGTATTTAAGGCATTGGCTGCCAATAAAAAACTGTTGAAGGCAAATCCTCCGCTAATGTCGGTCACCGGTGACTGCCATGGCGTTTAACGTGTTAATGGGAATTGTTTGTCCTTTGTCCAAAATTTGGGGGTGTAAACAAGTTATATGCTAGTGCGATACAATGCTAGCGTTTACTCATTAATCGTCATAATCGTTTAACATGATACGGTCAGCAAAATAAATAAAATACGACTTAATTTCCATAACAACATATAATTATACATAAAAAAAAACTTTATGATTTTATTCCATATTTGTTTTGCCGACCGTAAAATTAAAAAAGAATCCGTCATTTGTTTCCATTGCCCATCGACACCGCTTACAACAATGCCTGTGTTTGACGCTTCTGATTGGACGACGCTATGTAACCCCGCTTCGCTGATTGGTCGATTATCACGTCACCATCGATTGCCATTGGCCAGCAATTGTTATCGCGTCATGATGAGTTGAAAGAGAGAGCGAGACAGCTGCTTGAAGCTACGAAAAGAGAGGCGAGGGAGAAGGACAGAAAATTGAGACAAAAAGAAAAAGAAGAGAAAGAGAATGGACATAGGAATGGAGATGTGAGTCCTAAAAAGGTATGTTTTGAATTAATTATTATTACGGTTTACTCAGTTGGTGTTGAGTAAATCGTAATTGTAATTAATTTAGTATTTCATGATAGGTATGTTTTATTTAGTGCCGCCCATAATATAGAGTATAAGTAGAATAGTTCATTATTTTTTGTTATCTGGCCATTATTATTTTTTCTTCTAGCAGTAAAATTGGTTAGGAAAAAATTGTTGTTAATGATTCGCTTAAGTATTGAACATAAGTACCGATTGTATGATGTTTAAATTGTGACACTAGCTTTTCCTTGCGGCTTTGCCTGCGTTCGCTTTCACGAATAGTACATTTTTTAATAACAATTCTATACAATAATGAATTTGGTTTTTTGTATAAAATTAGTAAAAAGATTTCATTACTCTTCATAAACACGTTTAAAAAAAATCAAAATCATTTATTTCAATTAGACCAGAAAGGCACTTTTGAAAATCAACAAAGCTATTTGCTCATTCCAAAGTGTAGATTCCTATGGAGAAGAACGAGCAAGAAACTCCATAGGATACTCTTTTTCAATCAGGTTCACAATACAATTGTCCAGTTACATCGTTTTGTTGTTTACGTTAAGACGTTAATATGGCGCTGATGACTGACATTAAATGGCGGAATTTTGCCATTAAACACTTTTATAATCTATATATTACAAAAAGACAAGCAGTCATAGTATATATTATTATAAAATACAAATAATATTTTATACTTCAGTATTTTTCTATACCGCACCTAATTCACTTATATAATTTTGACGCAAGCACTCGATGTTGCTGTCTATATGTGTTTAACATATATAAAATAGTACCTAACATATATATGTAATCATTTGTAGCCAATGACGGAGGAAGAGAGACAGGCGATGTTGCGAGAAAGAGCGAGAAAACTCATCGCAGATGCAAGAGCTGGTATTGTTAGGTAAGTCAATTATATTATATTGACTGCCTCGTTGGCCGAGTGGACGCAAGTGCGACTGTCGGGCAACGGGTCTCGGGTTCGATTCTCGGATCGGGCAAAGTACTACTGGGTTTTTAAAGAAAATCTCAGTAGTAGCACGGAGTCTAGAATTGTGCCCGGTATATGGCAATAGGCTCACCCTCTATTACATGGGACTCATAACATAAATAGTGAAAAGTGGGTGTTACATTGTACAGTGGCATAATGTGCACCTCTGCCTACCCCTTCGGGGATAAAAGGCGTGATGTTATGTTATGTCAATTATATTAGACTAGCTGTTAGATACTGCACGGTGTTAATGACCGCACCGGCAACCGGCTGCCGCGCAACATGTAGCGGGTTCATTTCCCGTATGGACACACGTGACACCCAGACACGAAACAACAATATAGGAGAAAATTCTAGTTTGGGGCAACGTTTTTTTAAAAAAAGAAGAATTTTTTTTTATGGACTAGGAGGCAAACGGATCACCTGATGGTAAGCGATCAGCGCCGCCCATGGACACTTGTGATTTACATTTGCGTGTATTTTTGTCTTCAGTCCGACCTCACCTCTATCTCCGTCGCGGAACTCCCGCTCGGGCACCGTCGAGATCATCAGCAAACAATCCGTCATGGATGAAATTGTAGCAGGTATATAACGAACTCAATACTATCCTTTTTACCCCAATCATTCAACTATAATGCAGCTTTGAGTAATGGTGAAGTTTATATTATAACTTTCGTTGGACATACTAAAATGAATTATTATGTATTTCGGCGTATTCAAGTAACTGTTTGATGAGGAACTCGACTAGTTTCAAGCCATGCTAGAGGCTCATGAGCAGCTTTCCGGAACCTGCGACGCGGCCACCGTTGCTCTGCTTGAAACTAGTCGAGTTTCACGTCAAATAAATTAGCCGAAAAACAGTAACTACAAGGGAAGTTATGGAGTTTTTATTGTATTTGTATAAAGGAAAAGAAATATACCTTAACCCTTTGAGTACCGTCATTATAGACACAATTAAAGAACTATAGGTTGCGATCACCGGTTACAAAAAAAACAACAAAAAAGCACTCGCAGTGTTTGACAGTTTAATTGTAAGATGTTAAAGGTGTAATTTAATTGTAGGTTCAGAATGCATCGTCAGTATGTGGATTGTCCTTGATAGGACCTATAAAATTGCAAAAAGATCTTACTTACCCCTTTAAAAAAATATCTGACAACAAGCTTTTAACTCTTTTGGTTTTGTGGGTGTAGAGGTATCACATCACAGCCTATAAATGCTAACTGCTGACCAAAGGCCTCTTCTCGCACGGAGAAGGTTTGAGCATTATTCCCCACGCTTGCTCATTGCGGGTTGGCGATTTCAAACTTATAATTAGAAATTATAAGTCCAGGTTACCTCACGATATTTTCCTTCACCGTTTGTCAGTGGTGTCTTAATAATTCTAAGATAGTACTGGGAAAAAGTCACATTGGTACTTGGCGTTGTTCATAGGTTTCGAACTCGCGCCCTCATCCATGAAATGATCTTTAAACTCCGGGCCACCACGACACGTAGAGGTATGAAGGTAGATAAATATAGAGTTGTTTGTATTCCAGCGGGCGGCGTGGAACAGTTGGACGCGTTACTGGGCCGGACGGACTCTCTGCCCTCTACTCCTGGCTCCAGGAAGAGTTCCGTCAGTCCTGATAGATCTGGTGAGATATTACATTGTTTTTCTTTCTTTTACTAGCTTTTGCTCTGCACTGACTGCCTCGTTGGCCGAGTGATCGCAAGTGCGACTGCCGGGCAAGGGGTCTCGGGTTCGATTCCCGAGTCGGGCAAAGCATTACTGGGTTTTTAAAAATTCTCAGTAATAGCACGGAGTCTGGAATTGTGCCCGGTATATGGCAATAGGCTCACCCTCTATTATATAGATGGGACTCATAACGTAGTGAAAAGTGGGTGTTACATTGTATAGTGGCATAATGTGCACCTCGGCCTGTCCCTTCGGGGATAAAAGGCGTGATGTTATGTATTAGCTTTTGCCCGCGACTTCGTCCGTGTAAAAATGATTCCTGTTTAATCACATAGGAGCATTTCATCAGGCTAAAAAGGCTATCCTAAGTCAGCCCATACCCTGTCTGTATATCAAATTTCATTAAAATCCGTTCAGTAGTATAAGCGTGATTGACGGAAAAATATCCAAATAAAGAAGCTTTCACATTTATACTATTGTGATACTGTTTTAGTTCTCTTCTTTTTATACATAAAATATTTGATCGCTTGTTAAATTTTAATTGAAATCCATGAGGTGATAATGGAAGACACTGAGCATCGGCTCCGTATGTCATGACTGGTAGGACGCACTAGTTGAAGACTTTCGTCTTCAGGCTCTGCGGTAGAGTTGACGAAAAGACCCGATAGAGTTTCCTATATGCCGCCCAGCCAAGCTGTATCCTTCTACGAGCCTCCCTCTCGAAGTTGTTTCTACCAAACTGTAGGGTTTGTCCTAGGTAGACATACTCCTGAACAACCTCGAGAGCAGACCCATTCAGGGTGATAGGCTCCGGAAGAACATGTTCAAGCGTGTGCTCAGTGATAAAAAAATATTCCAAACAATATTTATAAAACATTATTATTGTTTGTTATAAAACATTAATGATTCATAATGATGTTGTAATAAAACATTATTATTGTTTGTCGTCTTAAGCAGGCGTCATCACGCCTGTTTAAACTATCGAACACCAAGCGGTCACCGGTGACCGCAACCTATTGTTCTATAATTGTGTCTATAATGACGGTACACGACGAGTTAATTCATCATTAACCTGGTGTACCCGGAACGCTGATTGGCGCGTGACACAATGTGTTTTCTACTGAGTCTTATGATCACCTTATGTATGCCAGTATATTATGCACTGGTATACGAAGTTAAGGATCATTCCTTGTACGGACGAAGATGTATTTTCTAAGCCATATCAATAAACTGACGATAATTATTATGATAATTGTCCAGAGGAGCGGCTCAGTTCGGACGGGCGCAGTATAAAGTCGGTGTCGCTGAGCGCGGGGCGGCGCTCCCCGCTGCAGTCCTTCGCCGCCATCGTGGACGCGCTGCCCGGGGACGACCTGCACGACGCCGAGGAGGTAATTGTTCATTTGAAAGGTCTTCCATTTATTAATTACTCGCGACCCGCCCGGCCGCACGGGTGCAATATGCATGTATTGTACATATAAACCTTCCTTAAAAATCACTCTATCTATTAAAAAAACACACATCAAAATCATCACAGTGACATTAAGTGCCGCAATGTACACCTCTGTCTACCCCTTCTCGGAAGAACGGCGTGATGTTATGTGATGTTCTGAAAGTTGAGTGGTATGCGTACGCCCCCAGGGCAAGGAGTCTGGCTCGTACATCCAGAGCGAGCTGGAGGCGCTGGAGCGGGAGCAGGCCGCCATCGACGAGCGAGCCGCCGCGCTCGAGAAACAACTGCGGCGGGTCATGGAGTCCGCCGACAACACAGAGGTACTCAGGGTTTATTGTTATTTAAACTTTATATTCAGGCAACTATGGCCCATAGATACATAATTTTTTTTAAGCCCTTTCCTCGCCCTTGTATTTTTTCGTGTGTGTGTCCTGTGTCGTGTGTACGTTTACAAACATACAAGTTCACATACACATGACACTCAGACACGAAACAACAATCTGTGGATCACACAAAAAGTTGGTCCGTGCGGGAATCGAACCCGCTACACGTTGCGCGGCAGCTGGTTGCCCAGCCACTGCACCAACCGCGCGGTCGAGATCGATAAAATTAGACATTATCAGGCGGCTTACTCTTGAATTCAATTCCGATCGATCGATTAGTTTTGCAAAATTTGGTACTCTTGAGTTGCAAAACTAGCGCCCATTGCATCCGTATTGCGTGGATATTGAATGAACTATAGTCAGAATTTTAATTCGATTCCAGATTTGACAATAGCTACTGTCATTTTGTGAAATAATGATACCACATATAATATTGTAGTGATGAACACAAAAATCGATAAACAATCAGTGAGGGTGTTTTATAATAAATGTTACAGAAAGTGACAGGATAGCGATAGCGATGACGGGGACAATTTATAAAATAACTTATTACCATAATACATCTATCTGTTTTATTTGTCATTTTCCTTCATGATTATATTTTTTATTTATTTCACACACAATTATAAAAGAAAAGTCTCAGATCGTTAATTAATCGTCAAAACTAAATTATCGGTTCAGAAATATTTAATTTCCTTATATACTTAGTTTACGAGAGTAAAATTATAAACGAGAAGAATCGATCCAGAAATGTTGCATTTCCATATCGAATAATTTCGTAACGTCACTATTTAGTACTTGTCATAACGTTGCAACACTGAAATTGTCAAATCTGGAATCGAATTAAAATTCCGAGTATAAATGGTATTGAGTTTGGCTTTACATTCTTTCTTTTCTTTCTTTTTTAAAAAAAAACGTTGCCCCACATTAGGATTTTCTCCTGTATTCCATTCCGTACATTCCGTACTCTGAACGCTATTTTAACAGCTACAATAGGGGTTGTATAGTTTTAACATTGAATAAATATTGAGATTTTATTGGATTGAAATTGCATTGACATTGAGATTGCTTTCAAGAGCAAGCACCCTACACAGCAGTGTGAATTGTATTTAATATTTTACCGTCTCTGTACCCCAACGGTGACTAAACATACTTGGAAAGTATTTGTAGTACGAGTTATAAAAAAAACTAATACTTAGAAATCAATTACAACTTCGTAACCTTCCAGAGAATTAATTATTATGTTTTCGGCTGACTCACGTAATTGTTTGACGAGGAACTCGACTAGTTTCAAGCCGTGCTAGTGGCTCGTATTCATGAGCAGCATTCCCGCGACGATATGAGCCTCTATCATGGCCTGAAACTAGTCGAGTTCCTCGAGAAACTAGTCGAGTTGCGTGATTAAACTGAAAACATAATAATTAACGAAAGTTTTAATACTTCCAGAGAATGTGGAGAAAACTATTCCTAACCTGTATTCAAGTTCCTACAGACCCGGTAACATTATACCTTGCCTTTGTCATATAGCCTACATTATCTACGCAACACCTAAGAATATGTCTCTTGAAAGTTATAAATATATAGTAGTGTTATATCGTAAGTAGAATAAACCGTAAATATTTCGAAATTCTTCTACCAGTAAGTTCCAGTAGGCTCTTAACTTAATTTTAGATGTATCTATAAAATATGAACATAATTTTTAGATCATTTTTATATGTTTAACTTATACGGGCTGTAAACGAACGGAACGCTCCCCAAACGCTGAAAAAAGTATGTTTTTGTACAATTTCAATCGTGAATATACTGAGAAAAGCTCTACTATACTCGGAATTTTAATTCGATTCCAGATTTGACAATTTCAGTATTGCAACGTTATGACAAGTACTAAATAGTGACGTTGCGAAATTATTCGATATGGAAATGCAATATTTCTGGATCGATTCTTCTCGTTTATAATTTTACTCTCGTAAACTAAGGATATCAGGAAATTAAATATTTCTGACCGATAATTTAGTTTTGACGATTACTTAACGATCTGAGACTTTTCTTTTATAATTGTATGTGAAATAAATAAAAAAATGTAATCATGAAGGAACATAACAAATGAAACAGATAGATTTATTATGGTAATAAGTTATTTTATAAATTGTCGCCGTCATCGCTATCGCTATCCTGTCACTTTCTGTAACATATATTATAAAACACACACACTGATTGTTTATCGATTTTTGTGTTCATCGCTACACTATTATATGTGGTATCATTATTTCACAAAATGATAGTAGCTATTGTCAAATCTGGAATCTAATTAAAATTCTGACTATAGTTTCGAACCACAGAGGGGTTCTTCACGAGCAGCGTGCGCGGTCGTGGCAATGTCGCGCAGCTCACTGTTTTTAGTTAATTTAGCATGTCTCACGATAGCTATTAAAAAACAAAATTTCGTCTTATTCATGCATAATCAACCTTGTGCAACCTATTGGTACATAAAAGAAATATTTAATTCCTTACTTTGAACTTTATCCTTTTGAAAATAAAGAACAAAAGAGTTTGCGTTTTTCACGAGCGTACCGTTTACGCCCTTTATAAGCAGTATAATATAAGTGTGTACAATGTATGTAGTATTATGATATTATTAGAAAATTTTAAAACCCTTATAGATCTTGATATTACTCTTACTTATGGCATACACCGGCAAACGAGCAGATTGATCACCTGATGGTAAGCAATCGGCGTCACCCATAGACACCTGGAACACCAGAGGCGTTACAAGTGCGTTACCGGCTTTTTGGGGATTACGAGTTTGAGGATCGTTAGGGATTCAGGGATTGGGGAGATTGGGGAAGGGGAGGGTAATTGGGCCTCCGGTAACCTCACTCACACGACAAAACAACGCAAGCGTTGCTTCACGTCGGTTTTCTATAAGGCCGCGGTATCTCTCCAGTCCACGCGGCCCATTCGTGCCGAAGCATGGCTCTCCCACACTTAAAACTACATCGGATTTTAGAAACTTCGAAGGCAGGGAAATTAAGAAGTACAACCGTAGTGGTGGAATGCACTTATATTGTTAACATCGAAATCAAATTACAAAACCAGTACTAGCTAAACCATAATCATTAAATTGGACAGAAAAACAACAAAAGCACATAAATAGGCAAATTGACTTTCAAATAGATTAAAATTCCCTAAACACAGAAAACGCTATTCCAATAACTTCCGAGTTCCCGCCCTCTTGACTTTTTCTTTTTCGAACCACAGATTAAATTTTCCCGCTACGCGATGACGTTTCTTTTTTTTTGTCTATGCTTCTAACAAAATTATTTTGTTTAATATTATGTTGTATGGTTTCCAGGAGGAGGATCGTCTGATGTCTCAGTGGTTCAACTTGGTCAACAAGAAGAACGCGCTGCTCAGGCGGCAGATGCAGCTTAATATACTGTTCGTGTTTACTTCTTACTTTATACTTTTTAAGTTCAAAGTAGAAAGAATAATGAATTACAAAATATGCGACATTTACTTTTCATTAATTAACTAGTCTAATTTGTTTATGGTATAAGCCGGTAAACGAGCTGACGGATCACCTGATGGTAAGCTATCGGCGTTGCCCATGGATACCTGGAAGGTGTTACAAGTACGTTACCGGCATTTTGGGGATTAGGGATATGAGGATTGTTGAAGTAATCTCATTCACACGACGTGAAACAACGCGTCGGCTTTCTGTGAGGCCGTTTTAATTAGGGAACAAAACCATTGCTATTTTATGGATTTTAATTCAGATTTCGTGCGTAGACCTAATTTAAGGCCATTTTCTCGACAGTTAAGTGACTATTCATCCTAGAAAGCACTACAATTGGGTAGTTTTCTGTGTCAAAAATAAATTATTTTTCATTCCTATTAAATATCTCTTCCTCATGAGCAGCGTGCGCGGTTGCCGCGAACTAGTAGCATCGAAACTAGTAGAGGTTTTGTTTAACATTTACATATTCGTACGTGCAGTGAACAAGAAGAGGACCTCAGTCGTCGCTGCGAGCTGCTGGCGCGCGAGCTGCGACTGTCGCTGGGCGTCGACGAGTGGAGGAAGACGCCCGGACAGAAGCGGAGGGAGCGGCTCCTACTGCAGGTCGGTACTCGCTGGACTATATCGGGTCTACTCCTAACGTGGGAGGCGTCAGAACCGACATAGAACCGATTTCTCCAACGCCAAATAAATTATATTAAAGGGAAAATGTTGTCGCTACTCAAACGCTACTCAATTTTAAGTTGCACTTAACTATAGTTCTGTAGTGGGTAATTGCATATTAGCCACTAACTGAGTTTAGGAAATTATTCCCTATTGCTAGGTTGTTAGAGTCCACTATAGCTTGGCTTCGTAGTGGTATAGCAGGAAAAATGAAGGACGAAACTCGAAGAAATGAATAGTATTATTAGATAGAAATAGGAATTATCTATACTAATATTTAAAAAAAAAAATATATTTTTTTGTGTAATAGTCCATTTATCAAGGATGGCTATACGCTATAAAACATCTCGCTACGACCGAATAGGAGCCGAGCAGAGCGGGTGAAACTGCGCGCAAGTAGTTAGTATGTTATAAAACTTATACTAATGTCTAAGCGCGTGTACAATAGCTTTGGTCGCCGAGACGTAAGACTGATGAAGTGATGAAGTACCTCCGCTCACCGCGCTATCGTATGATTTAGACCGCGGCCCCAACCTCATAAGCGGCCGCGATTTTGCTCGTATTGTAATGCGATGGTGCAAGTTGAGATCCGCTACAGTTCACAACTTAAATTCGAGTAGCCTTTCAGTATTCGAGCGTAAACCTTTAAACCCTTTGGCTGATATTGTCACTTACAATCTCACTTGCAACTGTTTGACCAAATATTTTATTGTTGCATTTCAGGAGCTATTATCAGCTGTCAACGAGAGAGACAGGCTAGTACAAGAAATGGATGAGCAGGAGAGAGCGTAAGTGTCATAACATAACATCATGCCTTTTATTCCGAAGGGGGTAGACAGAGGTGTATAATAACTACGGCACTTAATGCCTTAATGTCCAATGTAACACCCACTTTTCAATATTTATGTTATGAGTCCCATGTAATAAGGGCTTTTAGCCAAACGCCACTTTAGCGCTTGTCTACAGAGAGAGTAGAAAAATAAATGTATGGGGATGACACTGACAAGTGTCAAAATTTACGTCAATTCCATATAATTTGGTTTTCTATTCTACATGTAGACAAGCGCTAAATGGCATTTGGCTACAGCTGAAGGAGTGAGTCTATTGCCATGTAACGGGACCTGTAAGTGTCATTATAATAATTAAAACAAATACTGTACTGAAACCCCGATTCGAACTCAAAACCATTTAGCAATAACAAGCGTGGCATTCGTACTTGACACTGCGCCGTGTACACCCGGCCAGACATCAACCTATACAAAACCAGTTTATCCTGGTGTCGCGTCGTATCATCTTTCCGCACATTTAACGTTCAGTTTATACTGGTTATGTAAAGCTCGATGTGTAGCCGTGTGTACAAGGCAAATTAAAATGTTTGTAAACATTTATTCTTTAGCCACTAATAGAAGTCGAAAGTGAAAAAGTCATATACAAGTACTTTTCGATTATAACAGGCAAATACATAACCTTTTTTTGTATTTGATGGGCCGACGTTTGACCACTATCTCGCCTAGTGGTAAGCGATGATGCGGTCTACGATGGAGCACGTCGTCCCATAAGCAACCTATTCACTCGGGCCTTGAAGACACCCAGGTTATACCTTCAGGAAATACAGACTCTGGCAAAGAATTCCACTCCTTAGCAGTACGTATAAGGAAGCTTGATGCGAAGCGCTTCGTGCGTGTGGGTGGGACATCTACCATGAAGCGGTGTCGCTTCGCTTGTTTCAACCATGTTAATATTATTTTTTTTTGTCCACAGAATAGCAGATGACGACGAAATAGAACGGAATCTATCGCAAGTGGAAATACAGAGAAAGAACAACTGTATCTTACAGTGAACACCCTGTATACAATATACATGTCTAATGAAACACCCTGTACATCGTAGTACACTTACTAACATACGATTTTACATCAGTGGACTTGTGAGTATTAAACTAAGGGTTTTTCTAAATAAAATCATCATTTTGAGTTGGAGAAGTGTCTCAGGTTCGATTCTTGAGTAGGTTACTTTTGGGTTTTTCAAAATTCTCAGTTATGGTACTGTTTACGTGTTTCAAAGAATATTACGTTGAAAAAGATTTTTTTTCTCACAGTCCACAGATGAAAAATCATACATAAAAAAAATCGTAACACTTATTTATTATTTAATATTAAATTAAATGTAAATGTTTTTATTTTTATGCAACATTTTTCATCGCAGTATGCGTTTCGCGTCCTATTTAAAGAAATACTAGTAAAAGACCAGTGGTTCCCAACCAAGACAAAGAATGGTGTGCGAAAAATAAAAAAAAAACTTCAGACTATCCTGTCCAATAAATGCCTCGATTAAAGCTCGAAATAAACGATTAAAGCGTAGGATTTTCAGGTTTTTTTCTGTCATAACAACCTTCTCCTGAGAATAACAAACAACAAAAAAAAAATCTGTCAAATCGGTCTAGCCGTTCTCAAGTTATGGCGTGACAACGGGAAACAGGTTTCATTTTTATTATAATGTAGATAAGAAGATCTTACTTTGAAAATAGTATTTTTAATCATCGTGGTGTCTAACCCAACGAGGATGATATATAATTTACATTAACCTCTGGTATGTCAGAGCGTAGATCTCGATCTCTCTCTCCATTCAAGAACTCTTCTACAAACTCCTTTTTAGAATCATTTAATAAATGTTAATATACTAAAACCTGCTTCCAAGTATAATAAATACTCTGTTGGTAACCACATCAAAATCGATTCAGTTAATTGCTAGATAACCATGGACAAACATACAGACAGGTCAACTGGAGAACCCCTTTTTTGATGTCGGTTAAAAAGGGGTCTTTGACCAGCAAAAGGTTGAGAACCACTACTTTAGATATAAACTTTCAATGAATATTGTGTTAAAATACAATAAAATACGACTTTAAAAAGAAAATAAAAAAAATGTAAAAGTCAATATTGATATACTTAAATAATTGCTGTTTTTATAATTCCAATTATATTTGATAATTTAATTATTATGAATAATTGTAATTAATTATTATTTCGACGTGCTTCATTGGCATAATACATAGTTGATGTTATTTAAATTGGTGAGTTAGGTTATGTGCACACTTGCGATTAGTCGGTGGCGATTGGTCGCAAAAACTTATTATTGTGTGAATGGCATTAGGTTGTATTCAAAATCATTATATGAGTCCAAATAATACGGTATTTGCAAACTAGTCAAATTCAATACTTTTTTCGAAATGTCATAAACGACAGTTTTCTATGAATTGTGTACGAGATCGTGTATTGTGACGTCACGTTTTTTAGCGTCAAACAGCATAGTTATTTCTTATAAATGTACTGGAAAAATACTAAAATTGAGATGGTTATATAATCAATTAATGAAAGTATAAGTATTTTTTTAAATATTTTATTGTTTAAACAGTCGAAATAATTTATTTTTAATGAAGGAAAGGACCCAATCATATATACATATATTGATACTAGCTACTAGCGCGGTTTCACCCGCTCTACTCGGCTCCTATTGATCATATCGTGATGTTTTATCCACTGCTAGTCTACTGGACTGCTAGTGTCCTCTACATAAGAGGGTATCGTATAATATCTACGCCTGATAGGCAAGTAACAGATCCCAGTTTGACCCAAATCAATTGAGTACCTACTTTTCCTTAATCAAAAATATATTATTTCAACTGTTCAATACAATAAAATGTTAAAAAATAATCACACTCTCATTAATTGATTTTGTGACCAACTTAATTTTAGTATTTTCATAAAATGAAACGTGACGTCACAATACACAATTTCGTACAAAATTTATAGAAAACTGTCGTTTATGACAGTTCGAAAAAAGTATTGAATTTGACTTGGCAAGTACCCAATGGATGTACCTAATATGTGTATGATTTAATGCCATTCACAAAAAATATTATAATCGTTTCGATTTTTCTTCCACACCTATCTGCTATAAGTCGCCGTCGACAAATCGCATGTGACTATTAAGATATGTTTTGGCCTCAGTCGTAGGACGGATAATACTCAAAATAATTGTTTCCTATATATTTTTATATTATGTACACACAACTACACATCGAACTATACAAATCCAGTGTATCCAGCAACTGTAGCCAAATGCCATTTAGCGCGTGTCTACATGTAGAATACAAAACCTAATTATATGGAATTGACGTAAATTTTGACACTTGTCAGTGTCATCCCCATACATTTTGATTTCTACTCTCTCTGTAGACAAGCGCTAAAGTTGCGTTTGGCTAAAGGCACAGAGCCCTTAGTACGAGTTTCTTTTACGTTAAAAGTACTCGTAACGAGTACGCGTTCAGCGCTCTGATTGGTTGCTTCAATGGGGCCCGCCAATCAGAGTGCCGAACGCGTACTCGTTTCGAATACTTTTAACGTAAATCAAACTGGTACCAAGGCCTCTGGTCCCGCTTCGTATGATCATTCAGCACATTCGACGCTCAATTTATACTGGTTTTTCATAGCCTTATTCATGGAGTTTAACAAAACCACTTTAACTTAGTCTCGCTTCGTATGATCTTTCAGAACATTCGAAGGTCATTTTATACTGGTTGTGCATAGCTTGATGTGCGGTTCTGTGTACGAGTATTTTAGCATTTGACACTGTATAAATATTTTTGGTTCTAAACTAAAGGTAAGTGTCAGTTAACATACGTTGCGATTAGTCGTTGCTGTATAAAGAAGGAACATCTTTATAATATTATTTTTGTGGTACTTTCAAATTGTTAATCTTCAAAACCATAAAATTAAATGTTTTTCATAATTCTATTGACAGAAAAGTATGTAAAATATATGTATATCAGTGTAAAATCTTACTTTAACAAACTGTCGACTAAAGTAGTTGCGACTTTAAATCGCATCGTGTGTCGAGGCTTGTGTGCGCGCGTTTAGAACCAACCCTTAGGTTAGTTTAACGAATATGGCTTAATTTTACTCTTGGTATAGGTTTACCAAAGAATATTTTTTTATTATCCCAACTAACCCCCTTCTCCCCCCTTTTTTTTTAGATAGAATGGTGATATTTAAGTACAATTTTGCCATAGTCAATGGATTCTTGTAATACTATGGTTTAAAAGTTTATTTTATATTTTTTTAAGTAGACATTTTTTTTTAAAACGATCAATTTTTTTATTTAAATGTAAATAATAGCGTATTTTAGTTAAAGATATTTATTTTTACGCTACAAAATAAAATCTTGCCTTGAATGTTCAGTATTTGTTGAATCGGGAAGTGGATCTAAATTGTCTGAGGAACGGACGGACATTGCGACAAGTCGTCAACTTTATTATTAGATGTTTTAGTCAAACAGTCCAAGTCATTTATTATTTATTAAGTCGCTGTTCCAACTTCTTTCTTTTTTTCAAAGTCGCTGCGACTTGCGACTTGTCGCACGTTTGTGTCCAACTTAATCGGCCGGTGCTAAATTTTACCACGTGATCAGACTTCACAATTTGTGCAATTTTTACTAAACGACGTACGTTTATCTTATTATTAAATAAATAATGTAAATATTTCACGCTGGCTACACTAAAGTTCTATTTGGAATAATAAATAGAAATTAAAGTAATAATTAAAAATTAAATAAAAGTTAAATACTAAAAATAAAATAATTATTTGAATTTTATAATTAACCATTGACTTTTTTATTTAGAATTCTAAATATTGCGGAAGCAGGACAGTCGTTGTTTTCATTTTAACAACTTTTAAATCAATAATTTAATTAATATACTAAGTTTTATATGATCTCATTTAACTATTTCACAAATTCAACCAAAAAAGGTCAGCACTGAATATCTTCCATCAACATACATTTCTACAACTACCCTCAAATAGAACTCTAGGGTTGCCAGCAATTTTTTTAAACGTAAGTTATGCGATATTTTGCAAACTAAGGCTTAAAATAATAAAATGTATGTACCTACACAATACTATGTAGAAATTACAATTTGTGTGGATTCTGGATTTTTAGTGTGACGTCACTATTTAGGAAAAATTACTTGGTTTTATATGTTAGAGGAGTTTATAAATGCAATAATATTTAAAAGTTTAGGTTTGTTTTCCAATATGTGATTAATCACTTGAAATATCGTACCGAAAACGCCCCATTTGTCCATACAAAAGTAAATCATTGATTTTGCAAATCATTTATTTGCAAGTAGTCTCTAAACATCGGAAATAAGGTCTATAATGGAGTGAGTGGAGAGCGGTCACTAGTAATTGCTTGAGTCTTGACCGGTAAGGTCAAAATTACCCTATCTCAAAGTCAAAGCATTTATTTCAATTAAACCATATTTTGGTACTTTTGAATCGTCAACAAATACAAAATAAATAATAGTCTGTCATTCAGTCCGTCAGTGAAGCTAGGTGCTCACCCAAAAATGTAGATTCGAATGGAGAAGAACGAGCAAGAAACTCCATTCGTTACTCTTTCTCTACTCGTTACTATCTCAGTCCATAATATTTGAATCGATCTCTGTTTTTACGAAAATTATACAAATAACGTCAAAAGTCGATTTCTATTCAAATTTACCATATTTTTGCTCATCAAATCGTGCAAATATAGCAAGAGATGATTTTGTCCAATCACTATAGCTGTCAGATATTGGATGTCCAATCGTGTGACACTAGCTAATTCGCTATTGGATTAAAAACGTAGTTTGCAGCACACTAATTGGTGAGCAAAAATACAGTATTATACCATTGAGATCAGTTAAACAAACTGTGTTTTTTAATTTCGTATTACTATTAGAAAAGATTGTTTTTTTTAATGTTAAATTCAACTATTGTTGTTATCGTTCATGCAACAATGTATGAACCAATGGAGTAGGTTTTTAATATTTATTAATTAAAAAAAGTTCATTATAAATAAAAATGTCCTCTGACATATAAACCTAAGTTCTACGATAGAAAACTCAATGTCACATTATACCGTGGTAGATATTTGTGTATTTATATATTGTACGCGGGCAACACACATCTCATACATAATAATCACGTAATTATAATAATGAATTATCAATAATATTTCATAAAAAAGTAAATTATAAAAAAACTACGCCTTAATAAAATAGATGTTACAGATATTTTTTTTCTATACGTAAAAATAAATGACATTAAGATTTTTTAATTTGGCAATACTAACTGCGAACTGTCAAAACACTGACAAAGGTTTTTGTTGTATAAACACGAGGCTTTAATTTATGTTTTAAACGACTGATTATTGTGATTTTCTTACCAAATATATCTAGATAAAAGGTCAATGTCTGTCTGTATGTGTTGTGTGTGCCTCGGATATACCATAGACTAGATGCGACACGGTAGTATGTGCAATGTTTGTAAGCCACGCCATAATCGTCTGTACTCGGTAACAACGCTACTATTTATAAATATGGACCGTAATGAAATAAAGTGATATTGTAAAATGTATTTGGGTTTTATTTCACAATAGTTTTCCACCTTTTCAGCTACACGTTTGTTTTAAGTCCTTTTTATCGATATGGCACAGCAATGCACTTTTTACGCAATACTTTAATAATTTATTTATTATCACCTTACTACCAGACGAACGGCAGGGCGCCACCCTTATATGCTCCTGGCACCCTACTACCATTTCAGCGGACAGTACGGATTTGATCGTGGACCTTTGCGTCCATACTCGCTAGAATATTCAATGGTGGAAAGCGAGCCAGGAGAGTTGCCGCTTCAAAAGAAACCGTCCGGTACCCTTGTGCGATACGGATGGTTATTTTCCGCTGCAATCGATACATTTTTGCTCTGCAGCGTTGGACGCCTGGCAGTCGAGCTGACCAAACAGGCAAACAGACATTAAAGGACCATCGATCTTGGTCAGCAGTCTATGCAAAGCAGCCACTGCCTTCTCAAC